GCGGAGCATACAAATAAAATCATCTACCATATATGTAACTCAGTGCCGTTCTCTTACAAATTCACTGCACTCCACCAGCCTTTGCGCTGGCCAAATCGGTTTGTCTCGGTCCAACCAGATAAACAATCAACAGCAAGAAAATAAAGCCCAACCAGCAGCTGGACACTTTCACATGCAATGCGGATAAGAGAATGAGCGGGTGGAGGAAGTAGGTGAATAACAATAACGATTGATCGACCATTTAACTATTGCAACTCAGACTGATGCCACAACACTGATTGTGGCCCCATGCCACTTACTCTTTTACTATATTGGCGAGGTGTTTGCAGGGGTAAAGGTATTGCAGTATGTATGTATATGTGCCGTTATATGCTATGTAGCATTTAGGTATTAATATTGATATTTGTAGAGGAATTATATACTTTGCGACACTTGTTAAGACCAATTTATATATTGATATTAGTATTAATATTATATTTTTATAAACAGTGCCTAAACAGTTTTCTCAGGTTTGGTACAATATTTTCCAAGGGATTTATTTCGACTAAATATGCCATTAATTAAAGTTATCACGCCAAATTCTCTTTAAATTTTAAGTCCTTCGGATATCTTTCTAAATTGTGAAGTTTTCTCGATCCATTGCTTTACACCATTTGTTTGTTCGATTCACCATTCTCTAGGCTTTGTCCAGCCGACTTTATGACACTCCTACGCGACTGTTTCCGCTCCTTTCAGTAAGTATAAATGACTAATCCTCTGATATTTATACCCTGAACAGGGTATATTTAATTCGCTATGAAGTTTGTAACCCCCAGCGGGAAATGTCGGAGACCCTATAAAATATATGTATAAATAAATGATCAGCATAACGAGCTGCATCGATTTAGCCATGTCCGTCTGTCCATCTGTATATATGAGAACTAGTCTCTCAGGTTTTGAGATATCGATCTGAAATTTTGCACACGTCTTTTTCTCTCCAAGAACTTGCTCATTTATCGGACCACTATTGCATATACTGCTATGCAAACTGGACGATCAGAATCCAGTTCTTGTATGGAAAACTTTTTTATTTGACAAGGTATCTTAACAAAAGCTGGCATGTATTGTTATCCGAGGCAGTGAGCCAGTATCCGAATAAATTGTTCAGAACTTACCATTAGAGTATATAGCTGCCAACAAACCGTTCAATCAAAATCTAGTTCTTGTATAGAATTTTTTTATTTGTGAAGAGTATTCTAGCTTCGGTGCAACCGAAGTTAACGTGTTCTTTTGTTTGACATTAATATGCACGAAAGGCATTGGGTAACTTGTCAGTGGTGTTTTTCGACTTTATCTCGAACTAGTACAGTTACTTTACGTTGCTCTCGGACACTTTTTGTATTTTAATGAGATTGTGATGTATTAGTTTTGTTCGCCGAGAGATCAGCAAAACGTGTGAGTCAAAGTGAGAGTATTAGGTTTCCCCGTTTGGACAATCATAGACTTCTTGGGTCTAAAGTCATACTAATAATACTTTCACTATATTAAGTGTAAACAAAATTAAAACAAAATCATCGTTGTATATATGTATACAAGGTACAATTCAAAAGTTCCAGGACTTTTTAAACAACGCGGCTTCTAGTGGCGTCATCTGTCTGAAATTGTTATCCCTCAATTGTGTATTCTTCAGTGTTGTCGTATAAAATTTATATAACAGCTGAGATATCGCGCTACACGTGACATTACATTTGTAGTGTCGGTCGGAAAATGAGCATCGAACAAAGAGCCAACATTAAGTTTTGTTTTAAACTTGGTAAAACTTTTACCAAAACTCATCAAATGATGAAACAAGTTTATGGCGATGATTGTCTATCATAGCCGTATCCACGAGTGGTTTAAACGTTTTCAAAGTGGTCGTGAGGACATAAATGAGAAATGAGTCGAAACCCAAAAAATCGCGCCTGGAAAAGTCAAAAGTGAAGACAATGCTGATTTGTTTTTATGATTCCAAGGGTATTGTCCACAAAGAATTTGTTTCATCCGGCCAAAACGTTAATGCGGTATTCTACCTTGGAGTTTTGAAGCGTTTGGTAGCACGTAATCGTCGCATTCGGCCCGAATATCGCGAAGATGGAAGTTGGCGTTTGTTGTACGATAATGCGCCGTCTCATCGATCGACGAATGTGGCCGATTATTTGACCAGAAATCAAATTTTAACAATCAACCACTTCCCGTATTCACCTGATATGGCACCGTGCGACTTCTACCCTTTCGGAAACTACATTTAGCCATGAAAGGAAACCGCTATGCTGACGTTGATGCCATCCAAAAGGCGACGACCGCCATCCTCAACGCTTTACCGACAAATGACCTAAAAAAGTCATTCGAAAACCTTCTTGAACGTGCAAAATGTTGTATTCAGGCGGAAGGAGCCTATTTTGAAGGCGACCAATAAATTTTTCAAAAAAAAACAAATAATATTGGTTTTTTAATAAAAGTCCTGAAACTTTTGAATTGCACCTTGTAAGTAAATATCCAAGAAATACTTATCGGAAAATATGAGACAAAAATAATTGCCTTTTATTTTATAGTTATATAGATTTACAAATTATTTTTAGCAATTTTTAAAATCTGTCTCCATCTTCGGGAGTCTAAAAAATATACATAAAATATATAAATATCAAATCAAATGTGGCTAAGCAGAGGGCGCACACTGTCTACGCCACAGAGAACTTTGTACCACATACCGTGTTATCTGCGTGCCTTTGTGTATGTGGATAACGGTCACACTTGCATCGTTGCGGTTTCTTGCCTTGCACTTGCACTTCCGTTTCCGCTTCGTTTTTATTGCTGGTTACTCCTTCGCTCACTACTCGTATTGCTATGTTGTTGTTTATTGTTGACGTTATTGCTGCCACTGCTGCAGTGGCAGTTGTTTTTGCTGGTGCCTGTCATTGTTTACATGCATTGATTGAATTTGTTTACACCATTAAATTTGCAAATTGCCATTTTGGGGGCGAATTTTGCATAAACTGTCGGAAAATGTAGCTCAACAAAAACGCACACAAACATATGTATAGCTATGTAAATAATGTGCTTACTCTCATGTTGCAAGGACGCCGTCAAGCAGTTTTGCATAGCATAGTGTTGAAGCAATTATGAAGTTTTGCTGAATCGTTTTTGGGCAAGTGACTGCATAAAAGCATCTACTATACTCATCTAAATATGTATGTATGTATTTGTGAATATAAATATGTGAATACGTGTCGGCTCTCAGGTGTAATTTGAAGATATATCGACCATCACATTGTTGTTTATGTTGTTTTAATAATATTAATACCAATAAAATAATAACAATATATTTTAGTAATCGATTTAAGGCTGCATTTTAGCCTAGAGGCCCGAACTTCGACTTCTGGAAAATTGATATTAGAACTATTTATTTTCTTAACTCTTGCTTATTCATTCTTGAAAAATACACAAAATAAATATCAAAAAGAATAATAATAAACTTTCATAAAGTTATGCGTCCTTGAAGTAGAGGGGGAAAAGGCCGGTCAATTGTCACGATTTCTACCCTGCGAGCATTTCAAAAATAAAACAATATCGAACTCTTGAAATGAACTGTCACTTTTTTTCATAAAAGTTAATTATTTAAATTTCTCGAATTTTTTAATAATATAACAAATTAGAAATTTTCAGTTTTTGTTCATTCATGATTACAACTTGAGATATCGAGACGATCGCTTCGAAAAAAGTAGTCTCGAGAAATATGTCTCTCTCAAAGTGGTAAACTTGTCATGTCACAAAAATAGCTATAACTAATAATAAATAATAATAAAATAATTTGAATTTTGCAAAATCTTTTTGAAAACTTAAACTATCGAATTTGTAGATTAGCATCAAGCAATTGATTTAAGTAATCAAAATCGAAAGGAATTATTGTAAAAATTTATTTTATTATTATTTCGAAAGTTCAAAGTCGACAAGATCTAGAATATTATTTATTTATAATTTTTATATAAAAGTTTTGGTTATTTAGAACTTTTATTACGAAAAATATGTGGCTTTATAAGATCACTATAAGCAGAAATTCGGGTGACTAGCCTTCGCGACTGCCTCTTAGTAAGAGTAACATCTCATGCTTCGTAGCCAATTGAACGGTAACCTATTTAAACATACCTATGATTCGTTCTTAAAAAAATGTATCTCAATGAAGTAATGAATTCTTGTGCATTTGGTACATAGCAATTCGATATTGTACCTTAGTCTGCCAGCTTCCCTTGTCCTCTAGGCAGCAATGTTTTCTGTATGAAAGGGAACCTGAAGTTTATTTTTAAGATTGTTCGCACTATAAAAACCAAGGCTACTAATTTATTTAATACTTTAAGACATATCTTATCACAAATCTTTGAAAATATATACTTACAGTGTTTTGTTAAAATAAAAATCATTTCTCAATAGACGAAAAACAAAAGAATATAAAAGTACACATAAGTGCATAGTACTCAGTTATTTAGGGATCTACGTATAGATAATTACGACTGGAATATGTTAATGATAGTAAAAATAATTTATTATAAATCCTTATTAAAATTAATGAATTGACTGATGAAATACTGTTCGCCGACTTCAAGAAAGCTTTCAACACTTTAAAATTGAACTCAATCCGGCTTGAGCTAAGTAGAAAAGGAGTCCCCCTCATAAAATAATTTGCAAAATACAAGCCATGTGTAAGAACTCGAATTTGGCAGTGCTTTATAATGGCAACACCAGCGATGGGTTACGGTAAGGCTGCCCTCTTTTTCCTCTTCTCTGAGCTATTATCCTAGACAACGTCATGAGAACATTAACCCTACATACGAAATCATGCATCATCTAGAATCTTAGGGCATCTCAAAGATTTGAACTTTCTGAATGATTAAATATCATCTAACTACTATCAAACATGCATTCTCCGACATGCAAGAGAAGGTCAATAGCTTAGTCGGTGTGGAGCGCACTATTAGACTTGAGATAAATGTCACTAATACGAAGACTAAGATAGTCAATAACTCCAGTAAAAGAATTAAAAAATAAAGATTAACAATCATGAAATTTGTTTCATTGACAGCTTTTACTCGAAAAATCATAATAATTGATAGAGGTATAGAAACGGATGCCAACTAAAGGAGGAGCAAAGTAAGAGCGGGGTTTGGACGACTGAAATGGATGTGGGCAAGCGCGCAAATCTCCAGAGCCACAAAATTCGCAATATTCTTCGCATGCTTGAAGTCGATGCTGGCGGAAGCGAATATTGCTGATTTTTTTCTTAATTAAAAGTTTTAGCTTCCAAATTAAATTACTATAAATATTATTTTAAGACTTCTGATGAGAAAAAAAAAAAAAATGTTCAGTACACCCTGTGTAGACCACGTGACTTGTGTAAATTTCTTATAATATTTTTATTCTACATATGTATATCTGGTAAACAAATTTTATATAACATTTCGCGTAATGTGTAGCGGGAATATATATTTATACGTGTTCGTATTACTGCAATCATCACAGTTATGTAGGACCTTTATTGCAAATTCAACATCGGATGGAGATTACAAATTTCTGGTAGCCGGGGGTCAACGCATACCGGCAGTGCAAAACTATACCCGCTTCATGGTCTCACTGCGACTACGCACCGCCACCAGATACTTTGGTGACAATCATTATTGCGCCGGCGTCATTATCAGTTACCGTTGGATAGTCACATCGGCGCAGTGTATGGTCTAGTATGTAAATCACTTTTAGATTAATATCTGCAATTAGTATGCTATTTTGTAAGTTCATTTGTTGATTTACCTTTTTGTGTGCAGTCCTACGAAAATTCCGCGACGTCCGCGGACAATAATTGTGGTGATTGGTACAGAGAATCGCATAGTACCTAGTCGCACTACGCGTCTTATGGCCGTTGATAGAGTTGTTGTGAATCGGAATTTCACGTTACATAACACTAATGATATCGGATTGATTCGATTGAAGTCGCGTATAATACTGAGTGCGCGTGTGCAAATCATGCCGCTACCCACACGTCCACCGCCATATGGTGAGCTTTGTACAGTTCTCGGTTGGGGAAGACTTTACTACGTAAGCTGGTATCTACATATCGGTTTGTTTGATTTATTTCTACTTATGGTCTATTGCTTGCTTGGCGCAGGGTGGACCGTATGCAGCTAAGGTGTCACACGTTGGGTTGGAACTTTTTACCGAGGAGCGTTGTAAAAAGGCTTATCCCCGTCACTCACCGGGTGACTTATGTGCCAGCTATAGAGGTCGTTTCGATCATGATCCCTGCACCGGCGATGCTGGTGGGCCACTTATTTGCAATTCAAAATTCGTAGCTGTAGTCTCCTGGACTCTTGGCTGTGGTCGGAGTGAAGCCCCAAGTTTATACACTGATATATATCACAATTTGAAGTGGATTAAATCGGTAATGGCAGGGCAAGCTTGTTTATCGGTGTTGACAGAACTAGAAATGTTAATGATAATATATCTTGTAGTATATTATTCTTTATAAAAGCTAAGTAAATTCATCCAAAATATCAAGTTTGATTTATTCATGTGGCATATAGTGGTCAAGCAACGCAATTTAAGGAGGTTACGCGGTTCGACCGCAATTTTGGTTTCGACGATTCCGTTCCGGTGCTGGGTGTAGTGGAGTCGTGGTGAGCCGACGCAAAAATGAATGTGCTGTTGAAAAATTCGTCTCAAGAGAAACTTGTGAAAATCAACTGCCTCAATTTATAGGCAATAGGGACAAGGATTTCTATGAAAACGGTGTTATGAAATTACTTTCAAAATGGCAAAACGTTTTTGAACAATGTGGTACATACTTGATCTAATTCCGATTATTCTAAATATGCTAAACAAAAGCTTTCGAAGCTATAATACCTCTTACAGATTCAAATTTTCATATCGTGTTTTTCTCACAACAGGCTGCTCATTTATCGGTACCATCGATGTCGGACAACTATAGCATAAAGCTGCCATACAAACTGTCTGGAGAACTCCTGTGATGTCTTCGAATTTTCGAATTTTTTCAGAGATTATTAACAAAGGCATCGCTACAATCTCTGAATATATTGTTCGGATCGCACCACTATAGCTTATTATGACCTATCAAAAGAATTTAGAATAAAGATATTTTTATGCCCTTTTATGCTATAAAAAATGCACCTGTAAAGGGTATTATAGCTTCGGTGCAGTCGAAGTTACCGTTTTTTCATGTTTTCTTTTTTTATTTCAATATCTTCGTTGTTTACGTGATTTCACTCAATTTTAAAATAAACAATTATTTTGTCTATTCTCTGTGTACCATTCAAACTGTTTCAAAGAATCTACAAACCTATTATATAAATTTGACTTTTTATTTGTCTAATAAAATAAAAAATAATGGTTTGTGGCATCAATGTCGACATCACTGCAACTTTCGCCTATTATCTGTTGTATTACATCATTTTTATTACTCATCGAAAATGTCCACAGCCTTAAGAACAACGGCAGTCATCACGATTATTACTACCATCACCAGCCAAGTAAAAAGTTCAATTTATCTCTAAATTTATCTAATTTGTCGCAGGAGGATGGAAGCTATAAAATGCTTGTTGCGGGCGGATATCGGAAATATACCAATGTACTGGAAAGACACATCGTATCCATACGCACCGCCCGAGCGACCGCATATTTCGGAGATAATCACATTTGTGCGGGCTCAATCATATCGGACGATTTAATATTAACCGCGGCGCATTGTGTTATTGAGTGAGTAAAGTTTAAGCGTGTGTATAAGCGAGTGTTGTTATTTATTAAATTTTACCATACAAATTTTTAGTCGTCGTAAGATTGTGACTCGTGGTCATCGTATTATAGTAGTTGCTGGAGCACCGAATCGTTTGCTTCAGTACGTAGCAACAGTTGAAATGAAAGTACTCAATGTGTTTCCTCATCACAAATTTGTACCAAATGGCGCTCACGATATAGCATTATTGCGTCTCGCTGGCAGCTTTCCTGACGATAATGATTTTATCAAAATAATTCCCCTCTCCGATCATATTATACCAAACGGAACAATATGCACGATCATTGGTTGGGGTCAACTGTTTTATGTGTGTAGACTATTTATTTATATTATTGTGCGTTTATAGTATTAAGGCTGATCTGTTTTGCTTTTTTTGGTACAGCGTGGTCCATACTCAGCTGATCCATTATATGGTGATATAATGGTATTTTCGTATGATTATTGCCTACAATTTTATCCAGATATATTTGATAAAACGATGATTTGTGCCGGTAGGGCAGATACATGGGATGTGGACGCATGTCGTGGTGACGCGGGTGGTCCGCTAATTTGCGAAGGTCATGTAGCCGGTGTTGTTTCTTGGAGCTCATATTGTGGAAGAGGCAAGAAACCAACGGTATTCGCTAGCGTATATCATCATCGTCATTGGATCAAAAGGGCAAGCTGTGCAAAAATATTAAAGTCACTAAATTTACTTTACTTTTTATTATATATACTGTGCATTTATATCTCTTCTTGAAATCTATATATTAATATGCATATAGTATATGTGAGTGTAAAAATAGTGGGCATTATCTTTTGATTCGAGCATGCAGACATTATTGGACTAAATTTCATAAAAACTTATTATACAGATTTTCTTGGAAATAATATTGCTAATAAATTAAATTACTTCATACACGTTTGTGTAAATTCTGTGGTGACTGTAAAGGTAAATACTATGATATTATTTAGCCTCAGGGCTAATTGCGATGTGAAGATTTCTACTATCGTTGTTATTTTCGGTTTTACACTAATGTGGTAAGTTTTAATTTTATCCATAGAGAATACTACCTAAGAGGTAGTAAATTCTTGGGGTTTCTATATTGTTGGTGTATAAAGACCTCTGAGACGCTAAAGAGTATGTGATAGCTAGTGGTGACCATGGTATATGCAACCCTGGTTTGGTTCGCACTGCTAGCGTTTCACTTTATATTTTCCCTTTTTTCTTCGAAAGATTCTTGAAGAAAAATTCTACATATAAACAAGCGAAGGTGACTTCAAAGTTCAAAGTGGAGTAGGAACCCCTCAGTAGAATATTTCAGCTCGAATTTCATTTTCCTGTTTTGGTATATTGAATAGTCTCAGTTAATGAAGAGCGCTTTCCCTACTTAAAATATCACACCACACATCAGGTTGAAGTTTCAACCCAAATCATTTACTCATTCTCAAGTTATGTTTTTATTGCTGAAAAACTATTTTGAAGGCCACCGAGCTTCACATCGAACTATCGAATTGGAAGAGAAAAGTTCCAAACATTTTATACTCTTGCAACTTGCCGGGATCAACGCCGGGGAAATACCTTCAGGTGCGTAAGGTTTGTTAATTATGTGGGGTCTAGGCAATTTTTCACCCGATTTTATCACTTTAGACACAAAGTTCCACAGTTATTAGAAAAGCACGCTCTTTCAATTTTATGAAGATAAGTCACATATTTGACGATATATGCTTTATAAAGTCAACCGGAGTTCGAAAATCCCTTTATTAGGTTATGGGAGTTAAGGAAATTATTGAGCCGATTCCACCCATTTTTGACATACAGGCTTACTATTATTAGAAAAGGATTCCCTCCGAATTTATGTAATCTATCTTACAGATTGACCGATAGAAGCTGTGATCTATATATTCGGTATCTCGAGCCTTGGTCCGAATCGAACAATTTTTGGTCATAAGGTGGCACTTTTCACTATTTGTGCAAATCTTCATCCGGATACATTGATTAGTCCTTGATTACTTGCATACTGGAAAGTGAAGGAATCAGATGCATTTAAAAATTGTGGTCTATGGAAAGTAGGCGTGGTTTTCGTCTGATTTTCGCACTGTAACGTAGTAATGCCAAGATACTATTACTTACCGAATTTGATAGAAATCAATAAAGTAAATCGGGTTTTCACCTAAATGTGCGCAGTGCCATGCGCATCGTCCAAATTTGTCACCGGCTCATATAAAGCCCTCTCGTACCATCTCGGGTATACAATTTTATCTCTTTGCGGCATATAAATATTTATAGCTTTATCGCACTTTTAATAGCTTTTATCAAAACTAACTTATATATGGAGTGGGTGGGATTATAATTCGAATTGACCTATTTTCACAGAGTGGGTAGGGAGGCCAAAAAACTTACCCTGAGAGAATTTGGCATTTCATAGTCATAATTATAACAGCCTTGTATCTTATTGTGGCGCTCAGTTGTGGCGCTTTATAAATTTTCGATTGATGGGGTCTTATGGTCTTGGCAATGATTTGATTGCGCCCATTTGCAAACCAACTCTCCTTGGGTACCAAGGAACATGTGTACCAAGTTTCATCTAGGCATTCCAATTTTTAAACAAGTTATCGACCGACAGACAGACCGTCACTTGGACTTCAACTCATTTTGTCATCCTGATCATGTATATATATACAACTCCAAATCAATCACGATTAGTTTTAGGTGATCCAAACAACCGTTAGGTGAACAAAACTATTATACTCTGCAACACTATGTTGCAAAAGTATGAAATGTCCTACTCCAGATAGAGAACATTGGTATTCCTCAACTTAAATATTGCTATGTGCACTGAGATTAACAGTATATAAATAAGACGCTTAAAACTCAGCACAGGCTAAAAACACTATCCAAAGCCAACCATAAAAGTGACTGATAAGTCACTGCCGCGGACGGCTCTAAATACCATGCAGAGAACACTTCTATCGAATGCTCAAAGTACTTTCTAATCTCGGTTCGTTCTTCTGTATGTTTTCGAGTCATATAATAGGACAGGAATGGTAAAAGACTTCTAAAGTGTAATTTTTTGTCCGCCCCTTTGAAAGAGGGACTTGTTTCTCAATTGTCTATCGATCCCAAATTAGCACCTGTTGGCAAAAGTTATTATGCGCTCGAGGCCCTCAACAGTGACGTAGTTCTCAAGATGCAAGAAATCTTTATGGACTGCAGGTACTATTCCAGTCCTCGTTCACCACAAGATTAACCTCTTTCGCTTCTTTTTCTAGGCTCAAAAAAGGACTACGATGTCAATATCTTCTGCGTACCCCAGCAGCATTGTACTTTTAGACTAAACAGTGTCACTGGTGTTTAGATTAGGGATGCGTCTCCCTTTTTTCAGCATTATATTGAAGAAGGCGCACGAGAGATAATCAAACTGTCTAAAACCTCGTCTGATATCGAATGGCTCGGAGACGTCCTTCCCGATTTTACTGGAGCTAATGGTTGTGCTCAACGTTTCAACTGTTTTGCAGCGATACCAAATTGAAACATGGCGTCAAATAGTCAGCTCCTGTTAGTGTTGGGTGATAAGTGTCGATCTGTTTGTCGAGGGGTTCTTCTAGGATTTGACCGTAAAAGTCTGGTCTATGGTGGATATGCCAGGTCTAAAGCCACGCAATACTCTTGAAAGAACCGTCTATGAAATGCTAATAAGGCTGATCATGCGATAATTAGCGCAGACTGTGGGATTGCCGTCTTTGTGGAAACGGCAGAGTAACACATATTCCAATCATTGGGCATGTATTCATCCGACCAAATCTTGCTTAGCAGCTGTAACATCAGTCTTTAAAGCACCTCGCCGCCGGCTTTAAATAGATTAGCCGGTAATTCATCGTGCCGTGACCCTTTGTGGTTCTTAAGCCGGTTTAGAGCTGTTCTCACCTCATCTTAGTCGAGTGGCGGGCCGATAACTTTGTCACAGTAGATTGTCGGTGTGGCTTCTTTTTTATCCGTTGCAGCACCGCTTTCGCAAGTTAAGTGTCGATGAATGTTCCTTCAAAATATCGAGTGTACTCTGGGTGTCTGTTATCAGGGCTTTAAGTAATTTATTTGCTGCCTCAATTTCTGATAAAACTTTTAGGCCGAACTTTTGCTAGCCAGCATCTCAAGCTCTTCGTACTCATGAGAACTAAAAGGCCTAAAGGGCCTACAGTTGTGACGTCACTTTAGCCTGCGAAACTCAGCGAATCCGTATCGAACAGGAAGGCCACTTTTGAATGACATTAATAAAACAAAACTATGATTTATTCGTCTATGCAATTATTTCTTCGACACTCTGTTTTGTTCTCCAAATTAATATTTTGATTTTATTTTTTCTAATGACACAAAAACTTATCCGAAGTGGCATATGTGTAAATCTATTATTTATTCATATTTTTGTATTAAAAAAAATAGAAGTTATTTAAAAATATAAAAGGCTATGCTGCTTTTATTAGATCTATTGCATATTACCTATCATCTCGTGCCGCTGCTGTTGTGCGTGCCAAAAGCCTACTGCCTACATGACAGCGGTTATCATAACCACAGCAAAGAGCTCGAGCTGCCGATAGATCTGCCCAATATAACGTATGACAGCGGCGAATATAAGATGCTAATTACTGGCGGCTATAAGCCTTTGAAGAATACTCTTAATAAATATGTCGTGTCCATACGTACCTCCCGGGCGACTGCATACTTTGGCGATAATCATTTTTGTGTTGGCTCGATAATATCCGACAATTTAATATTAACTGCGGCGCATTGTGTTGTTGAGTGAGTGGTTCAAATTTGTGTCTTTTTGTTAATTGCGTACAACTCTCCTATACGCTTTAGTCGTCGAAAGGTCGTGACGCGTCCGCATCGTCTTGTCGTTGTTGCTGGCGCACCGAATCGTTTTCAAAAACTACAGACGACCGTTGAAATGAAGGTACGAAATGTTTTGCCTCATGAACATTTTAAACGCAAGGGAGCGCATGATATCGCACTCCTTCGACTTGTGCATCATTTTCCCGACGACAATGATTTGGTTAAAATAATAGGATTGACTAATAAAATGGTGAAACCAGGCACCTCATGTCAAATCATTGGTTGGGGTCAACTATTTTTTGTGAGTACGCGCATGCACTCATTATTTGTAAACAAACAGTTAATACTTTTTCTCCTCTTTTATACAAATAGCGTGGTCCGTATTCAGCACATGCTATTGTTGCCAATTTAACGGTATTCGCACAGGAATATTGTAGAAAATTCTATCGGCATCTCTTTCATGAAACGATGATTTGTGCTGGCAGGGAAGGTAAATGGGATGTGGATGCCTGTCGTGGCGACTCAGGTGGTCCATTAATTTGCGATGGTGAAGTAGTTGCTATTGTTTCATGGGGTTCACATTGCGGCGAAAAGGGGAAACCGACTATTTTTACTAGTGTGTATCATCATCGTGATTGGATTAAAATAGCCAGTGGCTCGGAAACTGGGCGACTGATCAAGTCACAGCATGTTTTCCTAAACATATTGCTAATATATTTTTTATTGTAAACTTAATTAATTGTATATATGTGTCTATATACTAATATACTGATCTCAAATAAATGTATGCAAGAACATTTTCCAAAGAATATTGGAGAAGCATTTTTTTAATACTTAAGAAGTATTGTTCAGCTAAAGAGTATAGGTAGAATTGTTATTAAGAGGCACATATATGTATTCCATATATGGAATGTCTATTTAACTGATGCCTGAACTACTGCTTTATCAGATAGTCATCCTATTGGGTAGTTATAGCTTTTGTTAAAGGAGTGAAATTCTTAAACGTATATGTATATTTATCCTTTCATTTACGTGTTGCTCATACATCCCCATATCTAAGCAGTAGTTGGTTCTTGGAATATTCCTCA